TCTAGTTAAAGTAGTTATTTAAAGGAAAAACTGGGGCGTTTGGGTGGCTCAGTTGGTTAAGTGTGCGACTTCGGCTCAGGTCATGATCTCACAGTTCATGGGTTCGAGCCCCACGTCAGGCTCTGTGCTGACAGCTCAGAGCCTGGAGCCTGCTTCGGATTCTGTGTTTCTCTCTCTCTCAAAAATAAATAAATGTTTTAAAAAATAAAAAAAACAGAAAAAACTGAATATGGGGTGGGGAGGTTGGCTTCCATTTAACAGAGAGCCTAGTGAAGTTTTCTTCTTATCCAAAAAGGATAAAATCTGATTATCACAGTGACCAGTCACCAAAGATCACATGCACCAAAGAGAAACCTGTCTATATAAAGTGGAAAATGTCTCTTTTTCAGGAGGTTTCTGGTTTCCAGGGAAAATGTGTTCCATGTAACTTTTCCCAAAAAAGGTGTCAACTTTTTAACACAGTGATACTTTGTGTACAACTTTAGCCACTTTGGGTGGAAATGTTTCCAAAATGGACTACTAACTTTCAAGCTTGAGGAAGCAGAAATGGCAAACACATGGCTGACTCCCCTCCCCCCGCCCCAGAATGAGTCAGGGTCATCAGGAACTTCAGCTGCTCTGTTGTGGCATGTCCCTGCCCTGGCAGTGTGTCAGGTTACAGAACTAATGGGCCCTCCCTCTACAAAGTGGCCACGTGTAAAGTCAAGGTCTGTGCCTGTACTCTCATTTTTTTGCTTCCTTGTTGCTGCTAAGTTTTCAGTTCCCTTCTGATGTGACAGAACTTAAGCTTTTATCATAAACTCAGGTTCCAGAAAGCCACGGTGGTTAGTATTTTTTCACAAGAACATGGACTTCATCCTATTCTCCTTCCTAAAAGGCATTTTGGGGGCTATTTCCTCCCACGGTATGCAAGTAAACTTTTTTACGTAAATAGGGAAAAAGTCAGTCTAATAACATCCAAAATGCCAGCCCAAGTGATCTGGCAATAATCTTAACAATCTTAAGTATCTGTATAACCAATCCATCAGTTAGTGATCATAATCAATCAGTTCTCTGGTATCTTGTTTGAACCAAGACTGAACAGAAAAGTCCCAAGTCAGAGATCAGTGGTTTTTAAACTTTTCATGGTCATTACAACTCGCTCTTTCCCTAAAAAATGCCCCCCCATCCCCCCTCCCCCACAATTTTTGCATTTAGCTTCACATAGAAGGGCCCTGATATAGAAAGCCCTGGTTTAGGCCACAGAAAAGGGAAATGCAAAAGCCACAAGCTGGCAGTGCCCATTTCAAGCAGCATTTGGGGGAAGGTACCCACCATGCTGACAGGAGTCTGAGGTCCCCCCAGAAACACTATCTTGGGGTAGATCTATCACTAGAGCCAGAAGCCACTTGTGGTGAGCAGTCTCAAACATGGCCTGCAATGACCCCCACCCTGCTGGTACTAATCCTCTCATGTAATCTCCTCCCCTCGGGAGCAGGCTGGTCCTGGTGACTTACTTCTAAAGAGACTATGGTAAAAGTCATGGGATGTCACTTTTGATATTAGTTTCCAAAAAGACTGGCTTCTGCATTGTGAGAAACTCTCTATGGAGAGGCCCACATGGCAAGGAATCAATGTTTCTGCCAACAGCTAGTAAGGACCTGAGACGTGCCAACAGCCATGTGAATGAGCTTGGAAATGCATTTACCCCTGATTGAGCCTAGAGGTGACCACAGCTCTGGTTAATACCTTGATCGCAGCCTGTGAGAGGTCAGAGGCACCCAGCAAAGCCGCCCCATGATTCCAGAGCCAGAAATGATAAGAAGTGCTTCTTGTGGATAATGAATAAACCTCTGGACATCTGAGTCATCACATTGACTTCCTGTGCCATACTTCTCAAGAAACTTTCTCATAATCTTGCTTCCCATGTAACTTGCCTACAGGGAGATAACACCCTAGGGTCAAGTTGACACATTTAGTTCACTTTGTTGTTAGATTTCTGATTCTAAATTAATGCACTTTAAAATCAGTCTTTTGTGTTTTTATTATTTGAAGCCAGAATCCCCAAGCTAATTCTAAAAAACAGCTCCCCTGTGCTTCCAATGACCCTCAAGTTAGCAAGAATTTGGGAAATAAGCCAAAAGAATTTTCCTAGTAAGGAAAATATCAATGTCTATTCTCGAGTTCAGCATCTCAATCATTTGTGAGGGGATGAATGAGTTGTCTGCCTGCTTGCTCAACAACTTAATGTGTCTGGAAGAGGCAGCACTCTGTTGGAGGCGGGAGACAGAACTCAGATGGTGGCAGAAATATCCAGGAGACTGGGCTCTGCAGCCTGCAGCCCTGCCTCCCCTGGCCACTCCCCTCCGCCAGGCCACATGCCTCTCGCCTCACGGCTCAAACTGCAACAGCTCTTAGGAATTTATGGCCATGGCCTATTTTAGCCACCTTTTCAAGAACCCTAGGATTCAGTTTTTCACACTGTTCAGTCCTTTATATTGCTTATCCAACAGCACAGAAAGCCTACAGAATCTACCATCTCAAAAAACTGCGCCGGATCTCTTCCTAGCCTGGGCAATCTAACACGTTTAACAAAGATGCCAACCCAATTGATCAATCGTGGCCTTCGAAAAGGGTCCTTTTTCATGTCCCCTAATCCTCTTCCCTGTCCCCAAAAAACATTTACAGTTGAGGGCCAAAAAACGCTTGTCTGTAGATACTGGAGCCCAACACAGTCCTGGTTGCAGGATTTGCAGTGAGCAGGATGCCACAATGGAAACCTCTTTGCTCAGCTCCTTGCAGTGGGAGAATTAGCATCATTAATCTCTCACAGCATGCTGAGTTCATCCCATCTTTTGCCCTTGAACTCACTGGACTAGTACCACCCCAGGTACTTCGCTCTAACAGAGACATGCCTGAAAAACCAAATGAACTTAACTTTTAAGAAGTTTAAGATGTCCTAAAAAATAAAAATAAAAAAATCAATAAAATAAATTGACTCCTACTTGAAAAATGCTGCAGACCAATAGCTGATAAACAAGATGAGACTGGCTACCCATCACTGACTGTCCTCTGGCCTTACGTATTTTACCCTGGCCGCCACCAACCACTGGCAATGAGACCGCAAAGGAATTCACTTCCAAGCAGCCCAGAGAGGTGTAAAACAGTGAATGCTAGGCTAACCAGACTCTTTCACTGAGCGTCCTGAATACAGTAATTGCTTCATGCAATAACCTATCCCACATTCTAGGAAGTAGAAATTCACCAATTTCAGGAAGTTCAACTGGGGTTACTTTTTATTTTTTAATTTTTTTTTTCAACGTTTATTTATTTTTGGGACAGAGAGAGACAGAGCATGAACGGGGGAGGGTCAGAGAGAGAGGGAGACACAGAATCGGAAACAGGCTCCAGGCTCCGAGCCATCAGCCCAGAGCCTGACGCGGGGCTCGAACTCACAGACCGCGAGATCGTGACCTGGCCGAAGTCGGACGCTTAACTGACTGCGCCACCCAGGCGCCCCTGGGGTTACTTTTTAAAAGATGGCAACATAGGATATGTTCAGCAGCTGGCTCCAAAGGCAAGCATTCCCCATTTTTCTTTCTCGCTCACCTTCCCACCCTTTTCTTATCAGCACTGCCCCATCTCATAGAGGTCTAGCTCTTTGCAGCTTCCATCTTTTACGCTACCAATTCCCTCATCCTCTCAACTACTTGGACCAGTCAGACAGGTGCTCTTCTCCTATGGATGAAGAAGTTGGGAATCCAGAAGTGGAACCAGTCTGTAGTTGAACCAGTCTGTTTCAAAAACCGGGTAAGCCACAGAGATCTGCAGCCGTGCAGAGCAATGCTTGGTCCCCTTGACACAACCTTCTTCAATCATCTCCTTGTTATTACCACACACTGAAAATACAAGGAAGCGCTCCCGCAGTACTTGGAAAACTTCAAACAAGTGCACACGCAGGCTGTTCTGCTGGAGCATGTAGTTTCGCCCTCTCGTGGGTGGGGACGGCAGGCACCCCTCCCTCTCAGAGATGAGGAAAGACAGGCCGAAGCCCAAGAGTGGCTGTGCTGCAATCAGGTGGCCCGGCTCCCAAAACAGTGATTTTACCCAGAAACATATGTCACTAATGCGTGAAGCCCTTGTGAGAGGACAACGCTCCTGAGACCCTATGTGCACATCCTCCTTCTGCTCACACTTCCACAGGCTCCTCCTCCACCCATGTCCCTTCACGTCTACTGCTCACTGTGTCCTGTTGGGAACACCGTGGGTCATGGCCTAATAGTGAGTCCTGAAAACAATTTACTGGGACACATAGTCTGCATTAAAAAATGAAATAGAATATCAGAGTAAATCACACAAAGAAAGGTAGATACTGGTTTGTCTGTTTGTTTTAATTTGAGAGAGAGCACGTGCAAGCAGTGGGGAGGGGAAGAGGGAGACAGAATCCCAAGCAGGCTCCACGCTCAGCACGGAGCCCAATATCAGGGCTTGAGCCCACGACCCTGGGATCATGACCTGAGCTAAAATCAAGAGTCAGATGTGAACCAACTGAGCCACCCAGGTGCCCCTGACAGATACAATTTTGTGCAACTTTTTTTTCTAAATTTCCTTTTTTATTTTTTTTTAAGGTTTACTTATTTTTGAGAGAGAGAGAGAGAGAGAGAGCACGCGAACATGAGCAGGAGAGGGACAGAAGTGGGGGTGGGGTGGGGAGGCAGAGGATCCAAAGCAGGCTCTGTGCTGACAGCAGACAGCCTGATGTGGGGCTCAAACTCACAAACCATGAGATCAAGATCTGAGCCTAAGTCCGATGCTTAACCAACTGAGCCATCCAGGTGCCCTTTGTACAATTTTTTTTTATAAATATACAAATGCATATGTTGTGATGTGTTATCTCTATATATATATGTTAGTCAAGATGCAAAAAAAAATTTTTTTTCAATTATCCTGTGTCCCAAAGGCCTTCAAATCTATTAAATCCAACCCAGGCTTTTCTTGAACTCATGCTATGTACTTATTAGAACTGTCTCCTGGAAATAATGGACTTAGAAACTGGTCCCACAGATGTCTCAGAGCCACAGATCTAAAAATTAATTCCTACAATTCTGCTTTTCTTTCTGTATTCTTTTTTTTTTTAAAGACTTATTTTTGAAGTAATCTCTACACCCAACATGGGACTTAAACTTACAACCCCAAGAACACAAGTCGCGTGCTCCACCAACTGAGCCAGGCAGATGCCAACTGTATTCTTAATTTACTGATTCCTGTGTTCACAGTATTTATTGTGGTAGGTGCTAATGTAGCAGCAAACAGTCATCTACCTGCACCAAGCTTAAAGTGTTAGAAGGAAAGAAGGGAAATCAAGAAGTGACTCCAAGGAGTAGCTTCACAGAACTAAAAGAAATTCCATAAATTAAGGCAAGAGTCAGATGTGCGAGGGAGAGAGGAGGCAGCAGATGCTGGAGACAAAGGCAGAGTCCCACTGCAGAAAGCCACACTGGCCATAGGAAGCGTCTGAACTTACTCTAAAGACAGGGGAAGCCAACCAGGAGGTTTAAGCAGAAAGTAACAAGATCAGTTTTGTGTTTAAAACATCACCTTGGCTTACATAAAAGGATAAGAGAATAAGCCTGGGAACAGGGGGATTAGTTAGGAAATTACTCCTTCCTTCCTTCCCTCCATCCCTCCCTTCATTTATATTTCATTATTTTTTAACTTTCATTTTAGACAAAGAGAGCATGTGAGCAGGGGAGAGAGGCGGGGGTGGGGGGGGGTGGGGAGAGAATCTTAAGCAGGCTCTATGTTCAGTATGTAACCCAACATGGTGCTCGATCTCGCAACCATGGGATCATGACCTGAGCCAAAAACAAGAGTCAGACACTCAATTGACTGAACCACCCAGGTGCCCCTTACCACCATATTTAAAAAGACTGGTGGTGGCCATGGGCTGAAGAAAAGTAGATGAATTTGGTTTCTGGACATAGAAACCACAGATCTTGCTTGTGGAAATAAGAGGGAAGGAAGAGTCCAAGGTTATCTTAGGTTTGTGGGGTGGGTTATCAGTAACACTGACCACTAGGATGTTAAAGGAAGAAACCCTGGGTGGCTTTTGCCAACCTTCCCTTGCCACCACCTCCACCCCAGCTGCAATGCACATCTCCCAAGTCGTCTCACCAAGCAGTCATGGTTCTACATGATAAATCTCTCAGCCTCCAGCCCATCCTTTGAACTATTACTGATCATGATACTCCTTACTTAAAACCCCACAATAGTCCCCAACTGCTTCTACCATGAATTCTAAGACTCCTGGCACCATGTCTATGGCCCCTGATGATCTGGCCCTCACCTACCTATGTAGAGTACCCTGTGATCACGTGAGATTACTAACAGTTCCACTTGCTTATAAAGGCCATGCTTCTCACTTCCTGCCTTTGTGCAGGGCAACTCTGCTGCCCAGAAAGCCCTTCACTACCTTATTGGTCTTGCAAACCCTATTCTTTCTTTACAACTAAGTTTTCAAATGGAGGAACCTCAGACACCACCACCTTAACCATGTGATCAAAGTTAACTCCACCAATAATGGGACACACTGAGATCCACAACGTCACTTCTGATGGATTCATACCCAAAATGCATAAACTGCATTTAATCACAAAGAAACACTGGACAAACCCAAATTGAAAGATATCCTACAAAACTGACCTGTATTCTTCAAAAGTGTCAAGGTCAGGAAAGATAGAGAGACTAAAGAACTATCACAGATTTTACAAATGAAACAATGAAGGAGGGTTCAATGAGGAGGTGGGGGGAAAACGGAGTTAACACCAATAAAAATGAAAAGTTATTAAAAAAAAAAACTATCACAGATGATAGGAGACTAAGAACCTGAGAACTAAATGCAACATGCAATCCTGAGTTGGACTCTGCACCAGAAAGAGGACATTACTGAGACAAATGAAAAAATTTGAATATGGTTTATAGGTTAGAAAATAATACTGTACCAGTGTTAATTGATTTTGTTAACTGTACTGTGATTATATAAAATGTTAACATTCAGGGGCATCTGGGTGGCTCAGTTGGTTAAGCATCTGACTCTTGATTTTGGCTTAGGTCATGCTGAGCCCCATGTATGCTTACAGTGCGGAGCCTGCTTGGGATATTCTCTCTCTCTCTCTCCTCTCAAAATATTTTTTTTAAATAAAATATTAAAATTCAAAGAGTATGAGTGAAAGAAAGATTTACAGGAATTCTTTGTACTGTTTTTGTAAGTCTATAAAGTTTTAAATAATTTTCTTTTAATGAGCTCAAATTCAGCCTCCCAGATACCTGCTACACAGGCAGTCAGCTCTGGCTCCCACAGGCCCTGGAACACATTCTATTACAACATTCATATAGCATTAGTTTCCATTTTGTATCTACTACCAGTACGGTTTAAAAAAAAAACAAAACACAGTGCAAGGCATACATAATTTAAAAATTTTCACTAGCCATTTAAAAAGTAAAAAGATAAGTGAAATTAATTTTAATACTATAGTTAGCTATATTTAGAAATATATCTAACAATACTTCTATATCTAAAACATATTGAGATGATCATATCTTAGATATATGATATATATCTAACTATAGATATATATCTAACTATATATCTATATCTATCTCTATATATAGTTAGATATCTAACTATATCTATCTATAGATACAGATATAGTTATCTATATATATAGATATCCAACTATAGTTAGATATATATCATATATCTAGGATATGATCATCTCAATATGTAATCAATATAAAAGTTTGAAACATTTTTTTCTTTTCTTTTCTTTTCTTTTCTTTTGTACTAAGTCTTCAAAGACTAGTTGTATTTTATACTTAACAAGACATCTCAATTCAGACTGGCTACAGGTCAGGCGCTCAGGGGCCACTGGATAGGAGATCTCAGGATAGGCTATGAGCTCAAGTGAAGAAACTTGTATTTACATTTCATCCCCAGCACCAAACAATGACTATGGTTTATTTAATGAATTAATGCGGGCTTTAAAATAAATACTAAGGAGTGCCTGGGTAGCTCAGTTTAGCGTCTGACTTCAGTTCAGGTCATGATCTCACAGTTCATGAGTCCGAGCCTCTTGTCAGGCTCTGTGCTGACAGTTCAGAGCCTGGAGCCTGCTTCGGATTCTGTGTTTGCCTCCCTTTCTGCCCCTCCTCCCACTTGTGCTCTCAATAAATAAATAAATAAATAAATAAATAAATAAATAAATAAAAAATACTGGGAAAAAAAAAAAAAGATTAGCTGCACCTCCTCTAGACTCCCTACCCCCCACAAATGTAGGAACTTACAGTCATGGTAGATCCATCTTTCTCCATCTTCTGGCACGTCTCTTTCTCTATGCCTAAAACACAGAGAGTCATTTTTATAGTTATCCCAAGAAGTCCGTTCCTTTCTTTCCTAGTGAAAGACTCTGAAAACCTCAGTGCAGGCCCAGACTGACGTCTATGAACACATGAACAGCATTTCAAGATTTTCAAGGGAGCACTGGCATTTGGTTGACGGCTGTGTTGTCTGTGTTAAATGTCTAAAATATTCAGAAGGAAGTGTGGGGTTAGCCAGCCATACACAGGATCGCCATCTTCAGGTGGAAAGAATAGCAAGGCTGCCACCTTGTGTCCATGAAAAGTTCTGTAAGTTGTACCAACCAAGGGACTATTTCAGAAAGAGGAAGCGACAAGAATGCTATTTTCTTACCAAGTCTGAGTCAATTTAAATTCCAGCCCAGGAGGGTATCCTCAGACTAATTAATGTAGCAGACAAAACAATAAACTCTAAATTTCAATGCCTGAAAATATAAATTCATTCTCCTCCCCACACCCTTCAAACTCCAGTCTACCTTCCACTCTACCACCACCAAAGGCAACATTGAAATAAAAAATACTATGCCTTTTCTAATTAAAGGAATGTGTACTCATTGAAGAAAAAATGTTAAATATGAAAGGGCACACAATTTTCAAGCTACCATCTTCCATGTAGCCACAACAAATTACTATCTAAGTGTACTGTCTATTAATAGTGGATTGTTGAACACACAAATGTGACCATCACTATTCTGCTTACAAACCTTCAATGGCTCCCCTATACCTGTAGGATCAGGTCCAGATTCCCCAGTACAACCTCGTTTTCCCACTTGTCCTAGAGTCACAGAGAACTACTGGGCACTCACCAACATGACAGGTTCCTTCCCATCCCTGGGAGAGATTCTTGTTCCCTGGCGCACATCTGTGTACGTCTGTATCAAGACCTAGCGCAAAGGTGACTCTCCCCAGGAAACAGACTCTGCCTGAGTCACCTGACAGCCCATATTCCTTTCCCACTTCCACGTATCTACCACCCCTCTGCATGACCACAGTCTCTGCCTGCTCCCAGGACATGGCTGATCAGTTACATACACGGTAGCACGAGCTATTCACTATCTCTGAGGATAGCACTATAGTTAACAGAACCCCTGCTCCAGAAATTTCTGTTGGAAGGAATTTCCTTCTAGTGAGGAAGAATATAATTCAAATATCTACATGCTCCTCTACTGAAGTTCAAAGAGGAATCACTCATAGTCCTTAACCTCAGCAAGTTCATCAAAGACAACTTTTATAATAAATATATGGGGAATAGAAACGGTAAGAAGAAATGTGGTGGGAACGTAAAGCGTGGTGGAAGCCAAGAAACAGTTTGGAGAGAAACCAGAAAGAATGGGCAGAATGTTTATAGGAGATGGCAAAGAAAGGTATTTCAAATGTAAGAAATAAACATAGGTACAAGAGTACTCAAGGTTATCCTGCATAACTGGGGTAGAGGGGTGCAGATGGGAAAGCGGCCTGGGAAGAAAGCTGGAACAGTGCCTGGCATGTATACTTTACAGATGGGAAGCTGCGACCTGGGCAGCAGGGAGAGGCTGAGGGAGTAACTCTCCCAAAGTCATCTACTTCCCTGGTTTGACTGTGATTTTTAAAGTTCTAAGTATAAAAGTCCCCACATCAAATTACATTGCTGAAAATCTGAGATGTTAATAATAATGTTTAAGGTAGTCAGGGACATGGCTCTTAACATTTCACAAGTCAGGTTGAAGGCCACAGATGTAACTTGGGGCCTGGAAAGGGACCTCAGCTCTAGAATGTTCTAATGAGTTCAACAGTAAGAAGCTTCAGCATAGGTTAGTCTAGTTAGTTCTTATCAGAACATTAAAGATTTTTTAGGATATTGGTCAATTTCAATCTACTACATCCCTGAACAGGAAAATGTGTAATATTCTAGTAATGAAAGCAATCTCTTCCCACATCAGCACTGTGGCCAAAAGACCATGAAACCAGATGGCCGAGGTTCGAATCCTACTTCTCGTAACGAACTATAGAAATGATCCCTGAAAGTTTAGTCTTCGAATCCTACTTCTCTACCATTTGCTACTCAAGTGACCTTGGCTGACCTACTTAACTTCTATGTCTCACCTCCCTTCTCTGAAAAATGGGGTAAAAAAATAACACCTACCAAGGACTAATCAGCTAATACATGTAAAGCATGTAGAACTATTCCTGCACATGGTAAGCCATTATACGTGTTAAATATTATTATTTCTGTAAGTTGAACAATCACAACATGGCTACAGGCCACTGTATTTTGAGATGTGACCACATTAAAAGAAATTATTACAAAATTCAAGTCGTCTCATATGTCGGTGTTTCCTGTGCCTTGTGCCACACTCATCCCTATGTCTCTGGTTCTTTGATAAGACTCCCTTCTGTGCCCCTCATCCAGGTAAAGAAGCAAAGCATAGACCAGCATCCTACATCTATCCTCCAAGTGACCCAATTCTCCAATCTCTTTAAAGCGCCTCCTGCATTGGCTTTCAGGCATTTCTAGGCTTAAGTACGTTATAAAGATGAACATATGCTTCCATACCTGCTTCTGAGGATGAAAACGCATGATTTATGGCAGACACGGGAACATTGGAACATTCAAAGTACTCCAGGTCTTCCTCTGGCTCACCTTTCACCTCGGCCCCAGTTGATTTCTGACCAGATGAAGTGGACGCCAGTTTCTCCTCGTCAGTAGCATGGCCATCCCTATTAGAAATGTCTGAAATCTGGGAGATCACTGCTCCTTCATCCTGGGAAATGCAACACACCAGATGCTACCATTTAGGAAGACCAACAGTGGGGATGGCGATGTCTCAGGAATAGGGCAGGACAGCCACCATTCCACACGGATGTCTGACAAGACTCAACCACAGATTTGGTACCAATCAAAGAGGAAACTGGGGTCTCTCAATCATGGAATGCTATGTTTCCTAGAAGCTACCTTCACATCTGAGGTTTGAAAAATTAACCTTTAGCCCACCCAGACTTACAAGCAAGAAGCTGAAGTGGTCCAAGGCAACGGTTTTCAAATATTTTACTCATATACACCTTGAATTGTTTTGGAAAACCTAGGTACCCCACTGTATTTTCAGATGACATCCAAAAACATCTCAGCATAAATATAAAAAACTGCAAAGGATACAATTATCTGGTACACTTTAAACACTGGCCTTGCCTAATTCAATCTAGTTACCAGAGTGATTTGATGATACTCTATCGTCTATTTAAAATCAAGCACGAACACGCTCCTCGATAGCTTTAATAGTCAGAATTTGCATCATACCCTTTCCCCTCTGAATTTGTACTTCCACTCTATTCCCTCCAAGAAATCATCCTTTAAAAAAGCATTTATATGCTTGAAAGTCTTTTAAAGTTCTCCCTACCATCTTTCTCAGTTAAAAAAGATAAAAATTAAAAAAAAAATTCTATGTCTTTAAGTATTAACATTTTTGCTTCTGAAGAGCTAATCATTATAATTAACTAATGCACAATTTATCCTAAAAATATCACAACTTTTGATAAGTACTATCAAATACAAAAGTTTCTACTTTTGTACGATTACATTTTGTTGAATCAATTATTTAAAACTTTTGCAGTGTGATACGTGCAATTTTTCTGAATCAAATCAAAGGTAAATTTCTCACGGTTCTTGTTGCCACTTTAGCAGCATTTGAAAGTGGATAATTACACACTTGTAATAGATGAAAAAATAAATCAGAGGACAAATCATTTTTTGTTTGTTTTTAATCTTAAGCCATGTACCCAAGTTTTTGGTCCAAACTGTGTAAAGTAAGTTAAACTTAAAATGCATTCTGTTAACCAGTGAATGCGTTTCTGCAATCACGGTTATGCTAAAATAGTTTAAAAAGGATCATATCCCAATCAGATGGGTCTGCGTGCTTGATTTTCTGTGTTTCTCAATTCATATGGTCATGGACAAATATTTATTGCTAGAAGGAAATAAGGGTCTGCATGAATTTTATTCCTGTTTTTCATTTTTTAAATTATAAATCAGTAAAGAGTCTTATATATTTAAGCCTATTTATATAAATAAGTGAAACAGAAAAAGTTTTGTAATAGAAATGTCTTTCAATTCTTTGAAACTCTTTCCAAGTGACATACCCAAACAAATCTATAATCAAAAATTATTTTTTAAATTGAGATATAAGTGACATATAACATTGTGTCAAAGGTAATTTTCAATAATCAGGTGACATCTCAGGTTCTCCTACCTCATTGGAAGCAATGAATTAGAAAACCATTTGACTTTTAAAAGAAGTTATTAACGTCCTTCACTTTCTTAAAATATACACCAATATTTCAAATCTGCCCTTTGTTAGATGTCCCAGACATCAAATGCACCTTAGTAAGATTTAGAATGAAAGAAAACTTTACTCAAAAAAAGTGGGAAAAGGATAGTATGAAGGGTTCCTATGTTCTCAGGAGCCTTCTCAGGTCACTGTGGGAAGTTAAGGATCTGGAAATTGGTTTCCTCAAAACTAGATACTCAGACACCCACCGCAAACTCTTCGTTAATCTACCCCTCGCTCCCCCAGGAGGATATAAACACCACTTTGGGGCCACTGATCTAAGAGCCATCCTGACAATAGGCATGGACTCACCTGAGAACATCCGTCCAAAGCAAGAGACTGTGTTTCATATTTCTTCACCTTGCAGCCACTCCTGGAAAGGAAAAACAAAAACAAAAAACAAAAACAGGCCATTTTGGAATCACATTGGCAATTTCCAAGCTATGAGATGGCGCAGAGACAGCAATGTGTGCAGAGAGAAGCGAAAGCATACAGCACCACACAAGTTCTACATCTACACATTTGAGAGGGGGACACCTTTTATGTCTCTGAATCTTCTCCCAAGAGACAAGGCAAGCAATGAAGTGTAGCTCAGCTCACTCTCTGAAAAGACCTCCTCATATGCTTCTGTGGGATGTTACACACCAGTACTCTGACCCCTACGGGTTCTGATTACATGCCACCAAGCCTTTCAGAGGTAGCCTTAGCACCTAGAGACATTCGGTTCATCTGATCCCAACTCACTTGGCTTTGACATTCATTAGAAAAATTACCACGCTGGACCAGATTCTTTAAAAAAGTTCTTTATTGCACTAGAAGCCACATAAGTCTGATAGGACAGTTCCAGACCTGTGTGCTGACAGAGAAGAACTGTGGTCAACAGAAAGTACAAAAATAAAACTATTTGCGTAAATTGTTACCATTCCTATGAAGCAGTAAGATGGAAAGCAAATGTCAAGTATTTGTGCCAAGACTGGAACTGTGGAAAACTCAAACCACCTGTTATTTTTTAACTAGCACATAATTTATGATCCGAGGATTGGTTCAGATGCTGTTCTGTTTTAATGCACTTAAAATTTCCAGTAAAAACGCCACTCTGACAAAATAAATACATTTACAACTTTTTCTTCTGCAGGGGGGATGGGGCTGGGTGTGGGGGGCAAGACGAGCATATTAAAGTTCCCAGAATGTGCACGACTACTGTCTAGTTTCTGGTTTTCTTTCCTAATACTCTTACTAAACGCCACCCCCTGCCACCAAACCACCAAATTTGAGTTGCTTCTGAAATGTATCCCCTGCTCCAAGCCAGCAACCTTATCCTATCAAAGAAGTCCGTTATTTCCAACAACCGCAGAGCAGTCAGTCCCTCCAATCACTGTCGGGATGATGTGGGGGCCAAGCCAGCACGCATTATCAAAGCGCCACGTGAGGCGTGCCGAGCTGGGGAGCGCAAGCTCTCGCACCTAAGGTGGAAGGTTGGTCTCCACTCCGTTAGGTACAGACGATTGCAAGGCTAAGCTGACTCATGAAGTGGCAGATGAAATGCAAAAAAAAAAAAAAAAAAAAAAAAAAAAAAAAAAAAAATCATCAGAAGGTCAAACTCAGATACAGAAGCCAACATGCTATGGAGAGATGGTCTGGGGAGAGGACGTGCCAAAGGTCCCAGGGACGAACAGAAACGGCCGGGGTACTTACAACAGAAAACAGAGAAATTTCACTTGTTCAGTAGTCCTGATGCACCAACAAAATTAGAGACAGGAAAGAGACAGACAGATGGAGAAAAAAATCATGTAAAGCCTGGAATATTTATCTGTAGTCTGGTAGATGTAAAGGCTGCAAAATTCTTTCTATGAGGTGAGACACAAATAAAGATGTCGTATTCATGAATGTTACCATTGGTGAGCGAATGATTATCAGGAACCTCTCTCTAATGCAGTAAGAGTGGTAGAAACACTCAGAAATGCCTCATATCCAAATTTATAGAGGAAGAGTAAACTTCCAAATATTTGTGAATATAAAAAACCAACATTATTTCACTACTGAGAACATTTAAATGTCTCGTCACCCAGATTAAAGGCAATGCATGAATACAACAATAGTGGACAACATATCTGCTCATAACTACTACAGGTGTGTATCACCAAGAAGCTTAAAATGGTTTTACATTAACTTATCTTATTTGATCCACAAAATACCAATCATGGAGAGTATGATGTCTACTTCACAGGAGGAGAATCTGAGATGCCAATTACATACATCTTTTAAAAAGTCATACAAGTGACCTGTTAACAGAACCTCTAACTCCCCACTCGCTTCTACTTCCACATGCGTTACTTCCAGTCTTTCTTACCAACGAAGGGATTTTCTAAACAAAGCCCAAGTTACATAAGAGGTCACACACCGTCTCTTATAGAAGGAACAAGGAGATAAGAGGTTTGATTATATAAGACATACAAAAAAAATCTACAAGGTACATTAAACCAAGAAGTTCACTCACCAAGAACAGAACAGGAGGAAAATGCTACCGGGTGAGGGTGGAAGGTCTGAGAGGGTACTTCCTTTTACTGAAAATTTGGTGTACGATAAACTTCCCTCCCTCTGGTCCAGATTTAGTCTCATCTAACATGAATGTACTGGCTATACAGCTTCAACATGCAACTGAAAGGGAGGCTCCCAAGGACTCCTTACTAATTTTGCTAGCCAGAAGCACCGCACAGGAAGCACCAAGGCAATGATGTGGCCAACATATACCCCAAGCACTGTCTAGACAGGTAACTAACCTCAGCCACAGAAGGGCACCTGGCGGACCCCAGATCAATAATATTTTTCAGCAACCATTTAACTGCTCATATATGACCAAAGAACAAATCAAGAGCTACTAATGACATTTCAATCACCTTAGGCATTCTGGGGTTGCTGAAGAAAGGATTTCTCATGGTTCAAGCTTCTTGGTCCTGATGCTTTCTGCTCTTTAACTTTTCTCTCTAGTATACTTCATCACACCACACTAGCATACTCCTTTAGGTCACAATAATGCTGAACATTATTTCCCTGACTCATCTACAGTGACAGCTGGAAATAACAGTACTTTTTCTCATTCTCCCTTTTTACTTTTCATTCTCTGTGTCATTGGTCTGACTTTATTTTTAGTAAAATGTCACAGGGTCACAAAAGGATATATGGTCATCAACTCAAGTTCTGTGAAAAGGTAACCCTGTAACAAATTTAAATTGAAACTTTACGTGGAATAAATATGCCTTGATCACTCTGGGAACTTCAAGGACCCTGCAAAAGTGGTTATGGCGTTCCCAGAAAAGAGGGGAGGGGGAGGGAGACAACGCACAACAAAAGACTAATTTAGTCAGATTTACAAGAATGTTTAAAATATTCTTGCTTCTTACTGCAAATTGACCTCCGTACTGATGGAGCCATAAGCTAAACATGGAGACATAAGAATTCTTAGCAACTTTTCGTGGTAGATTTGTTTGTAACAAAAGTCACAGCTTTCTGTTTTAAGTGAAAGACTTCTATAAGACCTTTTGGGACCATTTTGCACGTTACTGATATTAGACCGGTAATCAATCTGGAGAGATGGAATTTTCCTTTTATCCAGAGAATCTGAAGATGGTGGCCAGCACTGACACTTGAATTCTGTATATAAAGCAATTCCTGACAGCCTGGATAGGATTTCTGAAAACCATCAAATCTCTACCTGCTGTACACTCCTCTTCTTTTTTTTTTTTTAATAGGAAAAATGTACCCAAGATGTGGTGGTGGGAGAGGTCAGCCGAATAAGCTGAGGATTCAGAAACAAAGCAGACACCCACCAAGGACAACTCTGGCACTTCTAACTGTACCCCAGAGTTAAGCAAAAACAGTGAGGGCTATAGCATAAAGCTCTAAGCTGCATGTCTGCCCCGATGCACCTCAAAGATCACTTCGGTTCACTGAAACCAAAAGCAGCTGGCTGCCAAACTCAAGAAAGTACACAGAACACAACACCCACACCCGTCGCCACTCACGTTATTAAACGCGACTTTGCCTTCTTGGGTGATTCTAAGATTTCATTAATATGATTACCGGCGGGAGAACAAAAGTCACTGCTTGCTAAAGTTGTAGTTGGTTTAAAGGGATCCATGGATTCGTCAAGGTGGTAGGAGCCCTTAGAGGAGAGAGGGGGGGTGTTCTGCAGAGCGGAGAGGCCCCCAAAGGGACTGAAGTTGGGGTTATCCCACTGGCTGGGAGCCAGCTTAGCAGATGCCTGGGAGGGAGGAGCGCTGTCTGCAGCTGGGTCTGCAGGCTGGTCCCCACCTTTGGCGCCTACTGGCTTACTGACGCTATCTTTCTGTACCTTGGGAGGCAGTTTGCTACCCAGTTTCCTGCCAAGTTTCTTCGGAAGGCCTTTCCTGGACTCTACATTTTCCACATCTTCTGTGAAATCAAACTCGAGTTTCAGAGGTGAGTTCCTGGACTCCTCCAGCAGCTCAACTCCAGAGTCGTTGGTGTCACTGCCAGGGGCACTCGAGGTCTCCTTAGTGTCAGGAGGAGATTTCTGGATCCTGGCGCCTCCTAGCAAAGGATTTGCTTTCCCATCCATCTCATCAGCACAGAACTGATAGGATGCCTGGGGGAGAGGTGAGCCCTCTAGGGCAACATCAGCCTCTAAAAATTCACCAATCGTCTTCTTCCTCAGAGAGACGGGTTTGGGCTTTCTTAGCTTGCTTCTGCTGGGAACAGGCTCTGGATAGGAGCTGGCAGCCTTCAGGTCAGCTTCTGTGGAGGCCTCCAGCGTCACCCCCATGGTGCCTTCTGTCATTGCCTTGTCGGGGATGGCTTCTGGTGTGCTGGAGGGCAAAGCCTCGCCTGAGACCACAGTTAGACAGCCATAAGCTGCCTTTGTTCCTAGAGCTGCCGGGGCGTCCGTGGAATTCTTGGTTTCTATCGAAAATGGCCTCACGACTGAAATTTTGCTACTATCATGTTCAGGTTCTTCTTTGAAATCCTTGACTGGGTAAGAAGCAATAGCCTGCTGTGACACCTCATTTTCTGAGGGTCTAGAACAAGTCTCAGATGAGCATTTTTCAACCACTTCTGCTACCAGCTGTTCATCAACTTCTTGTGATTCTAAAAACAAAACACAAAAGCCATCTATTAAAGACTTATCTTTTTGGCGTTGGTAAATACTCTCTACTAGCTGAATCCACCCAGACAAGCAGCAAATTCCTCCCTCTGTAAGAGCTTCTATTAAGCATCTCTAAGGTTCAGCAAGATTGGCAGAGCAGCCTGGAAAGGAACAGTTGGTATTACACTCTAAAGTCAATCTTCCTATCCAAAATGTATACATGTTTTATCCAAGCTATACACATAATAATTAGACCAAATAGAGCCACTGAGGAAAAGACGAAATAGATTGTGAGACTATTGCAAGGCATATTAATATGATGTTAACACTCCACAGGTTAAAGTAACCAGTCTGGAAAAAGCTTGAGACACTGCCAGCTCAGATAGAGGGTTCAGATCTGGAACCGACACAGTTCCCAGGGCCTGCCTGACCGCTTCAGGGTCCAAATGCTACACGGTACACAGATTTTAATCTCTGGATGTTAAAAACAAGTATTCTCTCTTCCCTAGACTATAGTTTAAATAATCGAACTGTTTCAAAATTAAATGAAAAACCCACCATGGCCTGCTCAAAGTAACTTCTCTATAGACTTAAAAAACTGAAAGAAACCAAATAAAAAACCTAATTTGAAAAAGCAGATACAGGGGCACCTGGGTGGCTCAGTTGGTTAAGTGTCTGACTTCAGCTCAGGTCATGATCTCTCGGTTTGTGAGTCTGAGCCCCACATTGGGCTCTGCGCTGACAGCTCAGAACCTGCTTCTGATCCTCTCTCTCCCTCTCTCTGTACCTCCCAGCTCATGCTCTCAATCTCTCTCTCAAAAAACAAAACCAAAAACATTAGAAAGAAAGAAAGAAGAAAGCAGATATGGAAATGGCTTTAAAACAAACAGCCTTGGGGTGATGGCTGGTTCAACTGGTAGGGCATGCGACTCCTGATCTCAGGTCATCTCGGGTCATGAGTTCAAGCCCTACGTTGGGCATAGAGCTTACTTAAGAAAGAAAAATCGACTGGATTTAATAAAACTTAAAAAGAGAATCAATGTTTAAAAAGAGAATCAATGTTACTTAAAAGCAACCACCACCACCACTACCAATAGTTCTTATTTTACTAAGACATAAATCATACAATAATAAAGTTTTTTTTTTAGAAGTTCTGTCTCAAACTGGGCCAGGTATTCTCTCAAAACACTTGTGAAAAATAAGGATCCTTTCTAATCTGGGTCTTATTAGAAGGAATGCTGCAATCAGGAAGGTGAAAGTGAGGGTATTTCCTTAAAGCACAAACTAAGATAGTACTTTCCTGACTAGTTACCTGAAATAACAATCGAATAGCAGCAATAAAAACCGAATAAATTGGTATTATCATGGTATCTTGTGATTTTAAAGGAAACTCAGAGGGGCACCTGGGTGGCTCAGCTGGCTAAGCTAGGCTCAGTTCATGATCTCATGGGTTCATGAGTTCAAGCCCCACAGCGGGCTCCCTGTTGACAGTGTGGAACTTGCTTGGGATTCTCTCTCTCCCTCTCTCTCTGACCCTTCCCTGCTTGAGCCCTCTCTTCTCTCTCTCAAAACAAACAAACAAACAAACAAACAAACAAACAAACAAACAAACAATTAAAGAAACTCAGAGATGACCCTCTAATCCTACTTTCTAGCCCTACTTCTAATCCAGGAACAAAAAAGTGAGCACCGCAGGAAGAGTTTTTTAAACCACCCACACATATTTTCACAAAACTCCTTTAGGACTACAATTAGGTAGGCAGTGGCTTACAAACTGTATTCTGCACAGATGCTTCAGGTATTCTATCAATGTCCAATGTAAGTTTTGTTTTCAAATACACATTTAACTATTATTAATACCGTAATCTTAAGAAAGCTCTCAACACATGGTATCTGGGATTTGCTTTAACATACATCAAAAGAATTTCTTTCTAAAAATAGTAAATGTGGCAAAATCTTGATAACTGTTGAATCTGGGGATGGGTATACAGGAGTTTTCACTGTGCTACCTTCTCTGTTGCACAATTGCGAAAAGTTTCAAAATAAAAATATTTTCAACTCAACTGCATTACACACAAAATTTTAACAAGAATGTTTTAAAGTGTACCAAAAATTTAACATGTCTGTGGATAGATATATACATAGGAAAATCTGCGCACACACACACATCTGAACTGTTATGAATTCTGTGCTGATGGGGAAGGGTAGACAAGCGACAATGAAAACACATCACCAGAAACCCAGCGCTGCAAAGATTTACATGTATCCAGATGCTGTAGGCTCAGGGAGAAGCCAGGCCAGGTCTAAGCACCCCTGCTCATAACCTAGCATCCAGTCAGTTACAGAAAATGGAATCTTGATTATATCGAAATATAGACAGTTATCACTTACTTTAAGTTTTGGTGCTTACCATGAGCTTTTTAGATTCAACATGTATGGTACAATAAAAATATACATTTGTTCTTTGTCCTGGGTTCCCAACACAGGTCTAAAACTCTTGGACTCTCAGGAGTGGTAAGTGTCTTTTGTATGCTCCTGAGGTGACTGGTGGCCCCTCTAGCTTCAGGATGGGGGCTGGTCACCAGAAAGGTCAAGCAGTAGACAAGGTTGGAACTTTCAGCTCCACCTCCCCCCCTCACCTTAGGGGAGGAGGGAAGCAGGAAGTGAAGTCTAATCACCAATAGCCAGTGATTTAATCAACGATGCCAAAGTATGGGTAAAAACCCCTAAACTATGGGGTTTGGGGACCTTACAGGTTGATGACCTTCTCAAAGTGCTGGAAATATGTATACCCATAATAACAACAACAAAATCTTGAAACTATGTGTGGTGACAGATATTAATTAACTGGACTTACTGTGGTGATCATTTTGCAAAATACACAAATACTGACTCTTTACAGTATACACCTGAAGCCCTGAAGCTAATACATCAGTTATACCTCAAGTAAAAGAAATTTGAATTTTAACCAACTTTGTAAATGAGATATTATTAATAATTACATCATAGTTATGTGTCCAAATATTTTAGGGATGCATATTGACACAGATGACCCGATACCTGGAATTTGCTTTATTTAACAAAACAAAAGGAAAAGGAAGAAAAAGGGAATGTTGGAAGCAAGTCTTGAGAAAATCTTGATAATTATTTAATCTCAGCAGTGGGAATATGGAGGTTCTACTTTCCTGTGTGATGTTGGGAGCTGATCACAATAAAAATTTGTTATGTAATTTCTCCAATGTCTTCTCCTTGCCACTGACTTACTAACATTCACCGTCAGTCTCCCTCGTGGGATCCCTGAGCCCCACACCCCACTCCTCTGTCCTTTCCTACAAACCTGAGAGAATGTGAGGGGGGGGGCGAGGCTACAGACAGGAGAGTACAGTGTGACTCCCACCCACCCACTTCTTGGAACCTCTTCTCGCTATTTCGCAGACGCCTTCACCATCAACCTGACGCCTTCCAAAGGCCAAGGGGAGACCTTTCACTGACCTCTCTCCCTGTTAAAAAAGGGCAGAAACTCCTTTTAGGTCCTCCCTTCTTGTCCCCATCTCCATCAACTGCTTTTCCCAAGCTAAGAACTGGAGAGAGGGAGAGCACCTCACAGCATGAGGGACAGGGCAGGCAGCCTGAAACCAGCCAAAGAGGAACAAAGGAGCAGGATCTCAGCATTCACATAGAAGTTCTAACGCTGCCCAGCCCAGCCCCATAGCTCTAAGGATTAAGGAGTTTTATCGGCTGCATTCTGAAGTGAGACACCCACCGGTGGAATGGGGAAGGAAAACCATTGCCCTTCACTGACTTCAGCCTGAGCAGACAGCTGAAGGAGCCCCGCCTGGAAGACACCACCCCAGTGCAGGCAAATTAACATGCCCAGTCTGCACCTAGTCCCTGAGGACCCCACCTTGGTCCAGTAACTTCAGTCACCACTAGAAAGTACTGCGGGGTGGGACAGAGTGGGTGGGAGAGGACTGCTCACCAGTTTTGGGAGTTGTGAGAATGTAAAACAAGAAAACAAACCAGGAAACTCAAAAAGGTAGGTTTGGGTAAGATCTGATTTACATTTGCACTCTGAATCAGCCAAGTCTCCCAGGGCCCTCTGAGCCTGCATACCCAGTGCTGCCCTAAAAGAGAATGTACACCTCAGCTACCACAGAGCAAAAAGTTCGCCACCCTTCCCGGCAGGCTCCGCTTCTCAATCTTCTCCCAGTTAAGGGTTCTAGCCACAGCAGTCAGGGCTGGCTTTTCATCTGCAAACACTGTTATGTAACTGCCCTACCTCTATTCATCCTTCTATTTTTACAAAATTCCTGTATTCCTTAAAAATCTTCCTCCAGGGTGTGCTGAGATGCTCTCTTCCTGAAAGGAGTTTGATGAGTTTGGATGATTCTGACAAGCACTGCACAGCCTGGCAGCTTCGTGAACACAGACACTGAAGAGATTAGATCAGTAGATGAGTTCAAAGCAAACACAGAGGAAATCCAAAAATAGAGCGACATTTCCACTTCTGCCACATTTGTTGCTGTTAACAAAACTCTTCCTTTCAATTATCAGCCTCTCTTAAATCTAGACAGAAGGTTGTGTGAATCGCCCAGGGGTGCTTAAAAACATAGAGGCTTTTTATGCTTACTCAGGACATAGGCTATTCTCATGTAAAAAGGTTTTCCCCCCATTTTATCCTATTTTCAAAAGAAAAGGCACAGAATATCAACATTTTGAAGACTGGGGTAGCAGCCTGACATTGTGTATGTGTAATATACCTTCAACATACTGGAGTTGAACATAACTGGAGTATGTTGAAGGTATATTAAGTTGGAAGACAGGCTTACAAAAAAGTTTAAAAGCCTCAGACAGTGACATGCTATTAACAACAGTATTTTTGAGGATGAGAAAACATACTCTGCTAACATACACGGAGAACCTGCTGGCTAGCTGCTTTCGTATGTACAATCTCATTTAAGAGAAGACAAGACAGAACCACTTGGAAAACAACATGTATTAA